CGCCCCCCCCCCCCCCCCACCCCCCGGGAGCCACTGCTGGAGCCTTCCGTTGGCGCCTGGCCCAGCTGTTGGTCCCATGTCCTCCTCACCTTCTTGGGTTGTCCTGGCCCCGTCCACCCTGAGGCTACCTGGGCTCCCTCCTCCACCCAGGGCCCATCACTCATGCTGATGGGAGGCCTGCCTGTGGTTGCCACGACAATGAGTTGCCAGGTTGGAGGGCCTGAGCTTGGACTTGGACTGGCTGGAGCTGGGTCTGAGCCAGCTCCAGCAGGGAGTGGCCCAAGGAGTGCTGGGTGTCAGGATCTGTCCCCAGCTGACCCTGAGTCTGGAGGCGAGTCTACCTGCTCGACCCACCTCCAGACACGTCTGCCCCGCCTGAGGAAGTTGAGGATCCCAGTTGGGGCGGTGATCCTGGCCTTGGACCACTGGATGGAAAGGGGCCGGGGGTCTCCCCATCCACCCTCCCTGCCCCCACTCAGCGGAGACTCCAGGTGAGTCGGGAGGCCTTTCTTTCACCTGCGTCCCGAGGAACACAGCAAACAGGGGCAAACGTGGGCTGGCCCCTCCAGGCAAAGCCAGCCACATCCCTGCCCTGGCTCCTACCGGAAGGGAGATGGCAGCCTGCTCCCTTGAGGGACTGTGTCTGTTAGGGAGGAATCCGGAGCCCCCAAAGCCTCTGGCCCCTACTTCTGCATGGAACAATGTGGCCTGGGGCAACCTGGGGCATCCTGGGCCTCTGCCCCCACTGGGCCCCCAGCCAAGGGTAAGCAGAGGTGGGCCCTGCTGGGACAAGGCCCCCGCACCCCCACCCCCAGGCCAAAGGACAGACAGCCCTGCCCTCCCTACCAAGGGCCGCCACCAGCTGGCGGCACTCCTGAGTCTGGAACCTGTGCAGGCAGCAGGCATGGAGTCCGTGTCCTTCCCCTGGCCCGGAGGAGGAAAGGCCATGCCCTGCCTGCCGGACCCTTTTCAGCCTGAAGCCCTGAGGGTGTGAACACAGCCAGACGTGAAGAACGACTTTCTCAGCTTTGCACAGGGTACCACGGTGGCCCCTTCAGCGTGAGGTCTGTGGCTCCGGTCAGGAGGGGTGGACGGCCAGACCCCCCGCCTTGGCCTGCACCTTGGCCTGCATCGCATGCGGGGATGGGCCTTCACCCCCGATTTACAGAGGGAGAGACAGTGACCGGAAGGATGAGGCCCCAGGTGAGTGGCTGCCTTCCTCACTCCCCAACCACTGGCCCTGACAGTCACCTGCTGCCAGCTCAGGTGGGTCTGAGTCCCCCAGTTGCTCCTGGGGTAGGCGCTGCTGTTATCCCCATTTTACCGATGAGAGAAACTGAGGCACGCGGCAGTGGAGGCAGGGGTGAACCGAGGCTGGGACTCTGACCCAGGTCAGCCTGACTTCAGCCTCAGAAGAGCTCAGGGGAGAATGGAGGACTTGGTCACCCCATGAGACCTCACTTCTTGCCTCCCCTTGCCGTCTGGAGGGAAGAATCCTAGGGATGTGTCCTACCCTGGGGAAACTAAGACCCAGGGCTGGGTTTGGGACTCAGCCTGCTGCTGTACGGCCCCAGACGAGCCCTTTCCACCTCTGGACCTCGATTCACCTGCCAGGAAATGAGTGGTGCACCTCCCCACCCCGACAGGCTGCAGCATCAGTCTTGGGGCGGGCGCTGCAGGGGGGGTGAGCGGGGGCCCCTCCCCCAGACTGGCGGCCACCTCTCCTCACTTCCTGTTTACAGCAGCAGCAGCCCATCCCTTCACCCCAAAGCCACTGTGATCACCATGGCAACCGGCCTGCGTTTGCTCCCACAGGTCGACAGACCTGACGCAAGGCAGCAGGAGGGGGCTCCGCTCCATGTCCCCTCAGGAGGGCTGTGCTGCCGGCCCCAGCGGCCCCCGCTGTAGAGGGGTGGTTGTGGACATGGGGTCCAGGCACCCTCCCTGCTCCCCGGACACACCTGCCTCAAGCAGCGGTTGCGTTTTCTGAGCCCCCGTCTGCCTGGCTGTGCTGGGCCAGGTTGGGGTGAGTGATGGCCAGGTGTCCCAAGGAAGCCCCTATCTGCCAGCCCGCTCCTCAGCCTCCCCGGCCCTGCAGTTGCTCCCCCTGTCCTGTATAGAAGGGTCTGGGGCTGGCCATGATGTGGCGAGCTGGGATCCAGGAACCCAGACAGGCACTTCCCCGCCCGAGCAGTGACCCCCCATCCTGGGCGAGAGGAGAAGCCACCTGCGTCCTCCAGGTCCGTCCCGGCCAGGAGCTCCATTTGGAAGCCTATGTGGCCTTTGGCTGCACTCCGTCCTCGCTTCCGGCCCGGGCTGGGCTCCTGGCCACCCTTCCTGCTCCTCACCCTGCTGGAGGATGGTGAGGGACAAGCCTTGGGGTGGAAACTGCTCCAAGTCTGATTCCCCAGCCAAGGTGCTGCGAGCCTGCCTCTGTATCCCGCCCAGGGCACCTGGCCAGTCTAAGATCCCAGGGCAGCCGGGGACCTGCTTAGCACCCTGGTGCTCCAGCTGTGGTCCTGGACCGCCGAGGGAACTTGTCAGAAATGACTTTTGGGGCCGGGCTCGGTGGCTCAGCCTGTCATCCCGTGCTTTGGGAAGCTGAGGTGAGTGGATTGCCTGCGCCCGCGGGTTCGAGACCCGCCTGGGCAACTTGGCGAGACCTCGTCTCCACAATAAACCAAAAAATCAGCCGGGCGTGGCAGCGCGCGCCTGCAGTTCCAGCTACTTGGAAGGCTGAGGCGGAGGGATCGCCGGAGCCCAGCAGGTTGAGGCTGCAGTGGCCGGGACCGGCCACTGCACTCCAGTCTGGGCGACAGAGCGAGACTCCAACTCAAAAGAAAGAAAGAAAGAAAGAAAGAAAGATATGACTTTTGAAGCAGCAGTTCTGGGGCAGGACCCGGCAACCATGTTCACAAACCCGGCAGGTGACGATGGTGCGCCCAAGTCTGAGAGCCCTGTGGTGGAGCCGAAGTGGGCACGGGTGGCGCGGGGAAGAGCGGGCCCCCTTCAGACCCCCGGGGTTCCAGTGCGCTGTGACCCACGAACGGCCTGCCCCGGGCCATCGCCAGAGCCCCAGCAGGTGGTCACAG